TTATTATTATTATTATTATTATTATTATTATTATTATTATTGTTTTATTTACAGAATATAAAAGCAGAACCTAAAAATTACAGACATGATCGCTTGCGGCACGGAATATGTGTTCCAACTAAATGTCCAAACATTACCTTTCAAGAGACTACTATTCATGAGGAAATTGAATTATGTTACAATAAAATATACAACACCTTAGAATTGAAAGGAAGCGTATCAGAGATTGTGTGTGACACTGATCAAATTAAATATCGAATCGATGTATATGATGTTATCATTGGGTAAGTATCTAATTCATAGCAGGGATTTAGAAAACCATACTAGTGTACTATATACCAAGGGATTAACGTGATTTTTTGTAGATTTGGCAAAAATAGTATTAAAACTTGAATACATTTTTTATCATACCTTCTGAGATGTGGGGAATTAAATTTAAGAAATTATTATTATTTTCAGTTATAAATTTTAAATTCTTCAAGGGGTGAAGTCGAATTTTGTCAGAATCGTATACAGACCAGGGTAAATTTTCATGTGACATTTATTCTACCAGCACCACAAAAAGTCTTGGCCAACTATTCTTGAAATTTATTTCTTCCTAACTTTTGTGCCCTTAATATTTTCTCAAAGTTCTTTTTCATATCCAGCTATAAGTTAAGAAAAAAAGATGTGCTCTTGCCGCTGTAATGTAATTTGACAATTTTAAAAATATTTTTATAATATCAAATAGGTACCTATGTATTTTTTTGGGAAACTGGCTAACAACCAAATTCCACTCCAATATGGTAGCAACCGACAAAAGCTAGTCAGTTTTGTAGTTAAGTAAAAAACAGGTCGTAGGTTTTGTAGTTTGAAACTTTGTGATGTAGAAATCCAATTATTTTGAGGAAGCACTCAGAAGTTAAACAAGTTATTCTTAAAACAGATTTAACACAACTAGCTAAGTTGTTAGGTTACTACAACATTTATGATTTTAAGTAAAAATATAAGAATTTAAGAATTTTCTTTTAAATTTGACAACTCAGAATTATTTAACAGACTGATAGTTTAACATGTATCTCTACTTGAGTATAAAAATGAGTCGGTGCAACTGTGGTGACTTCTGACTACGTTTGAACTACTACAAGGAAGGGTTTTACTCAGTCCTACAATGTACTGGTATCAATGGAGCTGTTGGCGTTATAGTCATCTGCCAGATGTGGATGGCCAAACGATAATTGGTCGACAGACTCTATAACAACTTCCTCCCAAAGATTGTAGAGATTAGGATACTCTGGGTCCAATCGAGGGTTGACTTGAAGGTCAGAGGATTCTTGGTGCAGTTGCAATTTGAAATCAGAGAAGAAGGTATAAACAAGTAGGACATTTACAGTTAAAATTATGTTTTCAATAGTGGGTTGTTATTAACTATGTAATAAAATATAAAATACAAAGAGTTCTTAAATTTATTATTTACAGTTAGTTTTTAAAGTTAAAATAGGTTAGTAGTATTTACAAATTCTAATTACAATGGTATTTATAACTAAGAGTCGTAAAAGATACAATTAAACTGTAAGTAAATTACAAAGGAAAAAATAGAATTTGAAAATCTGTTCATGTGATTAATAAAAATAATGAGAAAATTATTATTGATCAAGATTTAATTGAGCAAAAATTTAAAGAAAAACAATTTACTAAGGTAAGGTAATTTAGTAATTCTTCCAGTAAAAATTTACAAAAGTAATTTATTTAGGTGAATAGCCGTCATTCTTACGTTTCAATTTGGCTCTCAGCTTGGGGTACTTTGATATATCCACGTTCTCCTCTATGAAAATAGTTGACTTAATCATTGAGTATTCACTCCACAAACTCTCCGGTGACTTTAAAGTTCTTGACTTCTCCATGAAATATGCTAGCAATAACATTTCAGAAACACCAGTATTTTTGTTCTGGCACCATTCTTTGAAATTTATATATGCTCGTATGCTCGTCCGTAGCGCACTTTTGACTTCTCGGACAATAAAAGTTTCGCTGCACTTTTTATTAGTCCAGACATGAAACAGCCTGTTTCGCGAAAACAATACTATTAGAAGTTTCTCTGCGGAATATTGTTCGGAAACGTGTTATAAACAAAATATCAAAAAATCAACTCGAGACTAGTTAGGAAACTTTATTTAAACATTGGTGAAAGTTATGGAAAAGTGGTTTTTTGACTGGCGTAAAACAACTGTTATTCATAGCGAAAAAAGGTTTATACAAAAAAGGTATGTATTAAATAAACCTGTAAAATGAGGCAAGTCCGATTAAATTCCTATAATTTGTCTATGCGTGAGAGCTCATAAATGGTCGAAAATGGCCGTTTTTTTTTCAATTGCTAATAATTAATGAAATTTTCATCGCAGACACTTGTAATTCAGGATTTTTTAAGCTTTTTGCAACCTTAATAAGTGGTAAAAATTTCAGCCCGAAAGCTTCAATAATTTGGCGTTAGCGGAATTTGTTATCTAAGAAGATGCTGTTTTCAATTCCATTTTTCCAGGCTCACAGATGTTGTAGAGTTTCGATCATTAGTTGCCTTTGTACCTAAATAGTTGTACTGACATATGCATTTACTGAGAATTTAATTTTTCAAATTTAATTTGTTTAAAAATGACTAAAAAATTGTTGTAATAGTGTAATTAAATTGTTGTAATAGTAACATCTGTCTATGGTTTAGTTAGTACTATTTTTCTTCGAATTTAAAATGAACGTATCGCGATGATTCTTTTTTTAGTTTGGGGTAGCGCGAAAATTCAAGAGCATTGACGCTAATGTATTAACGAAATTAACATTCTTTCAACCCGATATATACAAAAAATTTGTTTTTCGAATTTTACAGTCTGATATTTGCAAAATGTTAACTAGATCTTTTTGTGTACTTCAATTTTTATAGTAAATGAGGCGTCTGTTTATTGGCAGAGATGAAATTATTATATTGCCATAATAATACTAAAAAATAATCAAGTAAAGTTTAATCAATGGAATGGATGAAAGGGGTAAATATTAAATTATACACGTTATACAGGGTGTAACGTAAAGGTTGGGAACAAATTAAACGGTGGATTCTTTAGTTTAAAAAATATCTTTTCCAAAATACAAAAATTTCAAAAAATATAGTTTCTCCAATAACTTTCGAACATTAGAAGATAATTGAATGAAATTTCATCCATAGCTTAATTTGATAATCCGCTAGTAACAGGGAAAATATTGGCTTTGTAAGTTACTCAGTGGCGTGAGTACGTATTATAACGTAAGGTTTTTAGAAGAAAATTGTGATACGCCACTGGTAAAAACTTTTTTTTAATATTTCTTTGTAATCCACATTTTATTTTAAACAAAATTACCCTCTTGTGTCTTTTTTCCGTAAATAAAACTTTTGTAAATACAATTTTTCCCCGCTGCTAACAGGAAAATGAAAATAACAAAAATATTATGATGTATGCTTTGACTCAGCTACCGAAAATGGTCAAATAGGCATTAAAAAAAGACTTGTTTGTTTTGAAAATTATATTAAAATATCACATTATTTTAACAACAATAAAAAAACACTAGTGACTTAGGAATTTAAAGAATTTATTGAGTAGGTAATAAGAAGTAATAAACAACAAACAATATTACAAAAGGTGCTGGAAATGTTGCCCACCAACTTCAATACATTTTTCAATGCATTTTCTCATGGATTCTCTTACTCGTCCAAAAATATCAGGCATATCTCGAATTTGCTGACAGCCCATTTCAACTCTTTGACGAAGAATCTGTACATCAGAAATGGGAACGGAATAAACTGTTTTTTAAGTGCCCCCACACATAATAGTCTAATGGATTAAGTTCGGGAGAACGAGCAGGCCACGCTCTTGACCCTCCACGACCTAGGTCTGGCGTGTTTCAATTGGAACTTCTTCTAATAAATCTTTTGAAGAACATCCAGTTACGATAAACCGCCTAGTCTCTTTGGTAGTACTATGGGACCAATAAAAAAATCGCCAATTATTCCGGCCCAAATATTAATTAAAATCATTGCTGGTGCCGGGGTGTATTATTCCATGCGGATTTTCATCGGCCCACATATGACTATTGTGGAAATTAATTATACCGTCCCTTGTAAATCCAGCTTTGTCGGTAAATAAAATGGATGAGTGGAATAACAAGTTCTGATTGCACTTATTTATTAGCCAGGTACAAAATCTAAGACGTGGTGCATCTTCGACAGAAAGTGCCTGAATTCTGCAGATGGTATAGGTATAACAAATTATCATGCACGATTCGTTGGACAGTCATATGACTTACTCTCTCTATTCTTCCAATTCTTCTAGTACTTGATTTAGGATTCGCCTCAACCATCTGAAGGATGCGGTACTTCAAGTTGTACTGTCCTTACATTTCGAAATCTTCCGCTGGAGGTGCAAGGCTTTAACGAGCCGGTTTCACGTAAGCGCACATGCATTCTCGAAAAAGTCTTCCTATTTGGAATACGTCGAGCTGGAAAACGTTCAACATAAAGAAGCACAGCTAACACAGTATTCCCGTTGGCAAGGCCGTAAATAAAATACATATCTGCTAATTCTGGAAATGAGTATTCCATTTCTAACAGATCTAAACCAAAGTACAACCGCTTAAGGAAAGCTAGATGTCATAACTGACAATGATATTTTGTCTGAAAACATCTGAAAACAAATTTTGGGGGTTCGGTCAAAGCATACTTCATAATGTTTTTATTTTCATTTTCCTATGTTAGCAGTGGGGAAAAAATAGTATGTACAAAACGTTTATTTACGGAAAAGTGACAAGAGCTAGGAATAAAACGCAAGAGGGTAATTTCGTTTAAAATAAAAAGTGGATCATAAAAAAATATTAAAAAACTGTTTTCACCAGTGGTTTACCCCAATTTTCTTCGAAAAACCTTACGATATAATCCGTACGCATGCCACTGAGTAACTTACAAAGCCAATCTGTTTCCTTTTACTAGGGGATTATCAAATTAAGCTATGGATAAAATTTCATTCCATTATCTTCTAAAAATGTTCGAAAGATATTGAAGAAAAACTAAATTTTTTATATACATTTTTTAATATTTTATTACATACTAAATATTTTTACAATATAAAACTCGTGTTATAAACTATAGAAGTTACTATTTCATTTTATAATAATTACCTATTTTAACAATTTAATAAATATCAACATTTTTTCAGTCATTTTTAAACAAATTAAATTTGAAAAATTAAATACTCAGTAAATGCATATGTATAAGTGCATATGTATATTT